GTCCTTAGACATGGCCACCCAAATAAATTAATGCAATTAAATATATCTGTTATTATTTGGCTGTGCTCACAAACCCAGTTAAATGTACACATTGGCTTTTCTATTCTTACAGTAGATTGTGTCATGTTTGTCTTTTGTGTTTTTTGGAAGGACAGATACTGAAGCTGAAATGCTAATACTTTGGCCACTTAATGAGAAGAGAGCACTCATTGGGAAAAACTCTGATTTTGGGAAAGATTGAAGGCAAAAGAAGAAAGGAACGGCAGAGGATGACGTGGTTAGGTAGTGTCATTGATGCAATGAACATGAATTTGGGAAACTGGGAGACAGTGCAGGACAAGAAGGCTAAGGTCCAGGGGGTCACAAAGAGTCAGATATGATTTAGTGATTGGATAACAACAACAATCATTTTACCGAGTAAGCTTCATAAAGCATAAAGGACATGTATTATACTTGGCTGTATAACCAAGAATTTTGGGTAGCCTTCTCCAACTGCTACCATCCAGATATGTTAATCTTACGTTTTATAAAATCCTGTTCAGGATTTGGCATTATGGGGAGCTGAAATCCCAAACACTTAGAAAGTATTAGATGAAGATGTTTCTGTTGAAGCATGGATTGTGAATTATGTCATAGTGGAGATTAAACAATTGACTATAGTTTCTAGTGGAATGCCCATATTCGTTAGTCAAGTATGCAACTGTAACAGAGGAAGAGGGACTCTGTAAAATTAGCTCAATTTATTTCTTCAGAATAATCTGCTTTCTATGTGATCCAGATTTTCTCACTTTTCTTCCTTCATAAAGAGGTTTGTTTCCTGAGAGATAATGACTGGATACTGTTTAACTTTCTTTAAAGTTTCCCCATTTTGCATCAAGTAAACATTAAAGAAAATTAAACAGTATGTCAGTGAAAATCCAGCACGGGGGGGGGGGGGGAAACCCCAGTTTTTTGAGAAGCCAGGCTAGCGTGCATTCACGTGCCTCCAATCCCCTTACTTGCTGCAAAGCCAGATTGGAGTCCTCAGGCTGCTACTGCCAGTCCATTTTGAGCCGGTCCAAAAGTGAAGGGAATGGTTCCCACCCCACCGGATTGCTGCGGGGCTTCGTTTCCAAAAACCCTCTGCACAGGCTCTGGACAAATTTCAGGACTGAAAAAGCAGCAACCGGAGTGAACGGCTGTTCAAAGGAGGAGGAGGAAGGAGAAAGTGGGAGAAGTCACTACCGAACAGGCAAGGCGTGACAGGTGTCTGTCTGGGCATGGTAGGCCTAGCTGCAGGGGCCCTTCGGCCTGGTAAGCAGTTGCGGGGTGCATGGGGGCAGCTCTCTCCTCCCCCACCTGCCTCGGGGCAGTGCCTCCCACCTACCCACACTGCAGAGAACCAGTTGTTAAATTATTTGAATCCCACCACTGGTTGTAGGCCTTTTCTGTATCAGATAGAAGCAGGGCTGCTAAGGATGAGGTGATACTAAATTAAATGCCTCCCTTAAATACAATGTGCTCCAACCTTTCTTCCCATCCCTAGTTCCTCCCTGCATTCTTCCTTTCTCCTCAATTTCACCCCAGTTCCTTCTTTCTTTTCCAATCCACCTATGTTGTACCAAGTAACAACATAGCACCTCTCTTTTCTAAATATATTAAGAAGCGAATTTCAGACTCTGATCTGTGGAGACCAGGTCTGTACCAATTATCCCAACGTTAATGGCACCATTAGACACCATTATAAAATCCATTTGCCATGGGAAGAGGTACATTTATCCCTTCCATAACTAGGGGCTCCACATTAAGAATGCCATCAGGCTTGGAAATACTCCAATATTTTATTGCTATTAAGAATTTACTATTATCTGATAACTTTTAGCCAGTTAGGTAATAGCACCTATGAATTTTGACTGACTTATGATTATGCTTATGATTATAGACTGGACTGAAAAGACAAAGCCACCTCAGAAGAAGTCAGCAGCAAACTCATGTTGCTATGAAAACCACATGTATGCCACCAGAGTCAAGTCTGATTTAAAGATGTTACCTTTAGAGGGGATTTCAACCTTTTACGCTGTAATCTATAGGACATCTTAAAATGGGTTATGTTAGAACATTTATGATTTACTCAGTTTTTTCTAGTTCTATAGTATTATTTTTGAATAATATAGACAAGTATTCCAGATGGAGAGACAAATCCATCTTAAAAGTATTATAATTCCTTTCTGATATAATATTAATCAAACATAAATTAGATATAATTTTTATAACCATATGTTTCAGAATGGGGAAAAATTGTGACTGAATATCTAAATTTGGGCACCCCAAATCTCATCAGGAGAATTTTGCTGTGGACAATATAAAATTAAGAAGATGGCATGATGAAAAGAGCTATGTAGTCTCATGGCTGTTCAAATTTAGAATTTTAGTTCAGTTGTAAAAAAAAAAAAAGTACCCCCAAAGTGCCCAGAAAATGTTTTTTTCCCACAACACTACACTACCACAATAAAATGACGATTGAAATGGAGATTTTAGTTCAACAGGTGCAATTTTTAGAGGATGTGTTGTTGAACATAACAATATGAATACTGAAAGAACAAAACATTTTTAAAAATAAAAACTCATAACATAACTGTCTTTTATGAAGAGTATGGACTTAGCTCAACCATCAATACATGCTAACATTCATTACATTTCAAGTAAAATCTAAATTAAGAAATATAAGAGATGGGAAGCCTTGTTGCTATCTAACTACAGTACATGTTAAAAGAGACAAGAAAAACAGGAATTTATTTTACTAACAATAGGCCACATCACAGTCAGACACAGACTGGGGTGAAAATCCTTCTTTATTTGTCTATTTCCTAATGGCCAAGATAGTACATGGTTGCAAAAAATGCTGCAGTCTCTACTGAAATTCTATGGTTATTTCTGACCAAATGAATACAAAGCTATGAAAAGCAAGATTAAACTCTAAACTAGAATTTCTTCTGATAAAATCTGTCTTCTGCCATAAATTTATACCATGGTCTGAAATACCCATTTTATTCAATTTCTAGCCATCTGCAGTGTGAAACTACTAACTGATGCATTTTATTAAGTTATGGAAATAAATATTAAAGGCCAGTTGTTTGCTTTCAAAATGTTTCCAAAGATTTGCTAGTTGAGCTGCGCTGGGTTTAAATTTACTCCTAATAATGCTAACAAGCTTAAAAACTACAAATATCAAAGTGGGAGGAGAAAATAGAAAAATAGAAATGAACTGATAATCCAGGAATCATTAGATGGCTGTCCAATCCTTCCACACCGCCTGTATGTGAGACATTGGGTTTCTACACAAAGTATTTTGAATAATGGCAAAGATCATGAGTTGAGAAACATTTTCCCATTTTCAAGATCCTGGGAAAGAAAGAAAAGAAAAAAGAAAAGAAAAGAAAAGAAAAGAAAAGAAAAGAAAAGAAAAGAAAAGAAAAGAAAAGAAAGAAGGAAGGAAGGAAGGAAGGAAGGAAGGAAGGAAGGAAGGAAGGAAGGAAGGAAGGAAGGAAGTCTCGTAGCAGATGACTGCAAAATGAGTAAACTGGGTGACCAGTTGTGAAGGCAAACAAAATTCAGGGATGCATCACTAGAGGGATCACCAGCAGGAAAAATGATGTCCTAATCCCACTATATAGGACTTTTTCAAACCTCATTTAGAATATTTTCTCCATTTCTGGAGACATCACTTAGGCAACCTTGGCTCTTTAATGACTCGTGGACTTCAACTCCCAGAATTCCTGAGCCAGCATGGCTCAGCTTGGAAACCTCTCTTCCCCTCAGCATGGTTGGCTCAGGAATCCTGGGAGTTGAAGTCCACAAGTCATAAAAGAGCCAAGGTTGCCTACCCCTGGTATAGGTGGTACCTTGCTCAGTAGTAACTGTGAGAGGGATCTCAGAGTCCTAGTGGACAATCACTTAAATATGAGCCAGCAGTATGCTGCAGCTGCCAAAAAAGCCAACAGAGTGCTAGGCTGCATTAACAGAAGATCACGTGAAGTGTTAATACCACTTTACAATGCCTTGGAATACTGCATCCACTTTTGGTCATCACGATGAAAAAAAGGTGTTGAGACTCTAGAAAGAGTACAGAGAGGAGCATCAAAGATGATTAGGGGACTGGAAGCTAAAACATAAAGAATGATTGCTGGAATTGGGAATGTCTAGTTTGGGTATGTCTAGAAAAGAAGGCCTAGGGATGACATGATAGCAGTGTTCCAATATCTCAGGGGTTGCCACAAAGAAGAGGGAGTCAAGCTATTCTCCAAAGCATCTGAGGGCAGGACAAGAAGCAATGGATGGAAACTAATCAAGGAGAGAAGCAACCTAGAATTAAGGAGAAACTTCCTGACAGTTAGAACAATTAACCAGTGGAACAGCCTGCCTCCGGAAATTATGAGTGATCCAACAGAAGTTTTAAAGAAGAGATTGGACAACCATTTGTCTGAAATGGTATAGGGTTTCCTGCCTGAGCAGGGGGTTGGACTAGAAAACCTCCAAGTTCCCTTCCAATTCTGTTATTCTATTCTGTTCTGTTCTGTTCTATTTCCTCAAGCTGACAAGAGGGAAGCTCAACAATAATGTTAGAAAGTATTACTTCACAGTGGAAACTTGGAAATAACTTTCAATGGAACTAGTGGGTCAATCATCAGTAACTTAGTTTAAACATGCTTGGGATAAACAAATGTCCACTATCGGGGGGGAAAATAAAAATGAAATAATAAATAAAAATAATATTTAAAATTAATAAATAAAAAATTGAAAAAACAAAAACAAAAATCTCGAAGGGCAGACTCGATGGGCCACTGAGCCTTTTTTGCTATGTTTTTCCATGTTTCTATCAAATCCTAGGCTGCCCTTTTTCCAGAACTTCGCTTTCCCCACTTCCCGCTTCTCTCTTCCGCCGCCTCTTCCCCGCATGGACATTTTAGGAGTGGTCCTTCATTCTATACTTAGGGGCTGGGAAGGCGGGGGAAGCGTTGCAGCCCAATGCCCGAATGGGGCGGAGCAGTTCATTTGGTCTGAACTGAGCTCTGGCGTAGAGCGACCCGAGATGAGAAAAGCAGAGGCCCGGCCACGTCAGCACGACCACCTCGGGAACGCTGCTAGGGGATCCGGAGGAGGAGGAGGTGGAAGTGCGGATCGCGCCGGCGGAGTGCCGTCTGGAGCCATGGAAATCCCCTCTGGTCTGATATTGGTACGCGGGTGGGGAAGCAGCTGCAAGGGAGACGGGCGCCACGGGGGAGGGGGAGGCATCACAACAAATGCCTACGTAAGAACTTAGGTCTCTAAACTTTTGGCACGCGTTTGGCCAGGCAGAAAAAAAAGAGCGCTGGGATACTAGAGGAAAAAAAATCTTCCCAAGGGGGACAGAAACTGAATGAATGGTCTTAATAGTGGCCTGATTCTCATTGGGTTGAGTCTCTTGAGGCGTAACCTTTCGGACTACAGTGGAGGGAAGGGTAGCTGAGGAAAACACCAATCCGACTTAAAGCATTATCCAGAGTAGGGGTGCATAGAATTGTGAAGTGACAGGGACCCAAAGGGAGAAATGAATATTGAAAGAATTCATACATATCTGCACTGTTAACTATCTTGGACAAATTCTGATTTGATGTTTATTTGCTTATTATGCTGTTTATTTGCTTATTATGCTGTCAAGACAGAATCCTTGTAATGTAAATTTTGTTACATACTTGCATAAACTTAAACAACTTAACAACAGTAACTTACAATATATAGGACAGGAAACCTTTCTCCCAGCCTAGTGGCAGCTTCCTATTATGGTATTGTTTTGACTAGAAATGTAGTAGAATCCAGAACATTAGTACAGAAATTAAAGAAAATGATAGGTTATATGATTAGAATTCGGTATGTTAACTATAGACATATAGAAATACTAGTTGAAATAATGCAAAAGAAAAGTTTCAGGAAAGCTTGTTGAACACCAGGGACCTCACTTTCTACCACTCAACCAAAGGTACCACAACCAACCCAAGCGTAAGAAGCATAACACTTCTACACATCAAAAACATCTCAGAAACCACCAACAGACTACATGACATCATTGTACCACACAAATCAACTAAAGCCCTCCAAAGCATCCTAAGTAAGCCAAAAGACTCCACAGCCCCAGAAGAAAAAATAAGAGTCATCTACAACATTCAGCGTAATGATTGCAACAGCCACTACATAGAGCAAATAGGCAGAAGACTAGGAGAACGCATCCATGAAACCAACTAGTACAAGACATGATGAAAACTCATTATTCTCACAACATATGGACACACTTAACCATAATTTTAACTGGGAAATCACGATCATCTTAAACCAACCAAATAAAAAATGCTAGAGAACTCCTGGAGTCTTTAATAGACACATAGAGACATAAACAACACCTATATACTGTGCAAAAGAAATAATCAACAAGTCAAAAAAGTAGCAAAAAGCCAATAGCTCATTATCAGCAATCAATACCCAGAAGAGCATAGATTAATAGCAAGATTGACACCAGACCAACAATTAAGAAGTGAACAATACTCCAATTAAGGAACTGCCAAACAAACCAACCTCCCCCCCTCAAAAAAAAATCTCACCACCAAGACCATCTCCACAAACACTGACAGGACAAGCCACTAGAGCAGGGGTCCCCAACCCCCGGTCCATGGACCAGCACCGGTCCGTGGCATGTCTGAAACCAGGCTGTGCAAACAAGCAAAGCCTCATCCGCAGGATGCAGGCAGTACATGAAACCATATACCCTCCAGTCCGCAGAAAAAACTCTCTCCACGGAACCGGTCCCTGGTGCTCAAAAGGATGGGGACCTCTGCACTAGAGTATAAATTGAGAGCAAATTCCACTCCCTACCAGCATTGGTGATGTGGGAAATGAAACGTCTGCAAGAAAACAACCATGTTCAGAGAGCACCAAGGACCCCTTATTTCAACCCTGAGATACAAGCATTCTCCTTTCTTTCCAATTTATTTGTTTAATTATTTGTTGTCTGAATATTCTGAATCTTGCAATAAAATAAAACCAATTAATGTTGATCCCAGGAACCATCTCTGTACACCATTAAAGCAATTTTCATCTTGGACAGCTTTGGACAGCGACTTTTGGCCAAGGTAGGATACTTCTAACAATTTTGTTTGACATTTTGCTTACTTATTGAAGGTCTGATAAACTTAAGGACAAGGAGAGTTAAGAAAACTGTCTAAGGTGGAGAATATGATTCCCTTCTTTTGGCTTCCACTCCTTCCTTCTCCTACTTTCTCACAACAATCCTCTGAGTGACAGAAAGAGTGACAGAGAATGACCCAGTTTCATCCCACCAGCTTTCATAACTAAGGCAAGACTAGCACATAGAGTCTGATGGTTTCTGATGTCATAACCTCTAGACCAAAGTGGCTGTTTAGTTCACAGGATTACCCCTTCGCACAGTTCATTATTTCCCTCTTCTATTTCAATATATCTATATAATATTGTGTTTACAAAAAATACATTTGAGGCATCTGAGTTTCATCTTGGGGCCCCCTGAAATTATCTTAGAGAATTATCCTCTTTCTGAACAAGTTTTGTTGCTTGCAGCCAAACATCCTATGATTTCTGTCAATTGCTTCTTACTATAGGAGGAAATTCTTTTTCTCTTATATGTCAGCTTTGGTCAGTGTCCCCGCACTGTAATATTCTGACAGGGAAAACATTTTCACTCCCAATTCATCACTTATATCTCATTCAATTCATTTCCTCCTCAGTGCTGTTTTTATAAAGCTCCATTAAGTGACCCAGCTGCCTCAGCTGTCTACTTCCTACAATAAAAAGCCCAACTCTCCAAGCAGTTCTTTGAAATGAAAATCATCTATTGGTCACTCTTATTCTGCATTTTCTACTACATAGTTTTGGAGACCAAGGGAGCAGAATTGCTGCCAGGGTGTTTGAGGATATATTGAAGTTCTTAAATTCTAGCCATCCTATAGAATATGTACATGAATGATTTTACTTTGAAATCAATTTCACGTATTCCAACAAAGATTACAATTTAAGCCTGGAATCTCCATTATCATTACTGTAATTGTTATTATTGTTAATATCAATCATCCACTATCTTTCATCTAAAGTGATTTTATAATCAAGGATAAAATATAAATAATTAAAATATAAAATAATTATCTAAAGCAATTGTTGACTAACTCCCATTGAAAATACAAGTAAATAAGTCAATTTAATCAGTGATCCTTACTTTTAGTAATCATGATAGATTTGGTTGCTATATTTATTATGTAGACAATTGTTTTATAAGAAGTCAAATTATAGATCTTACTCATTGTTCAGTACCCATAATGGTCTATGCCAGTTGCTGCCTGTTATTGGTGCTATTGGCTACATCTGGAGTTTGATCATCATCAATCAAAATAAAAGTTAAGAACTCCTTGAAATTAAACACAGCTGTTGGTGAATATATGGGCAGGTCAATATACTTTCTTTGGTACCAATAGGGAGACAGTTTTTAATGTCTTCCTCTCAGATTTTTTTTTACTTCCTAGTATAGTCCTCAACTTATTTGTTTAAAAGCATTGTTTAACACGATTACAGTTTGGGCACTTGATAACCAGTTTGCATTTACAGTTGGTTGTAGCATCTTGCAGAACTGTGATCATGATTTGTGAATTTTTTTACACCAATTTCTGTCAAAAAATGTCCATTGGGGAAGCTAGATTAGCTTAATGTCCATAATAATTTGCTTGCCCGCTGTAAAAATTGTCATAAAATTGGATCTGACCTGATTTAGGATTAAAATTCTGCTCCCAGTTGCACTTGTAATTTGAGGACTATTTGTAGTTCTTGATTTCCTGATGAACTCCTATCAAGTATTAACCACTACCAACACTGACAAAATCAGCCAAAGTCAATTAGGAGTTGTTAACAACTATAGATTATTCCAGGCATTATGAATGTTGTCTCTGAGGATGGAAATCCTAATTGATCATGAGTTGTGTCATCCTGGAGCCTATGTACGTGCAGTGTTGCTCTTGAGGCCAGAATTTAGGTCACAGAGATCAGGACCCTATTAAGGAGAGCTTCAAAATACATGGCTACTTTATTCCGTAAGTCTCTCTCTCTCTCACACTCTCTCTCTCTCTCTCTCTCTCTCTCTCTCTCTCTCTCTCTCTCTCTCTCTCTCTCTCTCTCTCTCTCTCTCTCTCTCTCTCTCTCTCTCTCTCTCTCTCACACACACACACACACACACACACACAAACATACATACATACATACATACCACAATTAAGTTTAGCATCTAAAATTACCAGTGCATAGATTATACATTGGAGAGAATCACAGAGATGAAGTTAGAAAAGGAATGAGATGGCAGTTAAAACAAGATTTAAGCCAAGGACAGAAAAAGAACAAATAAGAGAACATTAGGAAAAAAGAACATAGGTGATAAATATTTTGCATTATTTAAAAAAAGGCCATAAGAAAGAGTAATTATATATGGGGGAATTCTGTATTTTTTAAATTTATTTTTGCCTGAATGTTTTTGGAAGGATATGGTACCCCATTTTCCATAACCAACACAGCCAATGGTGAGGAATGATGGAAGCTATAATCAACAACATTTGTTGGGCCAAAGTTCTCTCCACTGGTTTAAGATGTATGATGGTCTTGGATAAAGATAACTGCAATTCACAAATCATTTCCCATCCCCTCTGTTGTTTCAACCCTCTTTTAAATCTCCTCTTCTGGCTGTCCACAGTATTACGACAACACATTTTCATCAACAAAAGAACAGAAGAGCTTTGAGAGAAATGTCTTCAACAAAACCCATAAGACAGAGAGTGAGTAATCTCAAAACTCAGCAACTGGACTATCTGGCCTGCTGAACAGAAACCCTTGATTTAGCACTTCTGGTCTCCTTCCTGTGTCACAAAATGTATTTCAAGCAGCCAGGGGTAACAAAGAGCATATAGAACAGATTTATTCAACACACTTGACTAGGCTAAAATGAAGTTGTGCAGTTTATGGTTCAGAGTTTATGAGAAACCCTTAGCCTACAATATGAACCACACTTTCATGATAAACCATAATATGGTTTATTTGTGGCCGTGGCATGTATGCAATTGTAGCAATTATGTTTTGTTAATCTGAGTTGGACGTTAAGCCTGTCATATGAGCCCAGTCTAGCAGAAGCAAAGAGGCAAGCAGTGGGTGAAATGGATTTAAAGACCTCTTTCATAAACTTATATGCCCAGGGCACATTTATATACCTTAGAGCAATGGTGGTGAACCTATGGCACGGGTGCCAGAGGTGGCACTCGGAGCCCTCTCTGTGGGCACATGTGCCGTTGCCCCAGCCTTGCCTCCCCCGCGACCCCCTCCTCACCAGCAGCCTCCCTGGAGGAGAGTCGCCCCCGAGCGTGGCCCACTGGGAGCAGCACAGCCAAGGACATGGCAGCCAGGCAGCGTAGACAAGACTCTGCCCTCACACCCTATCACGCACAGTTGATGCTGCAGGGCGTGGGCAGAGGGTGTGGCCGCCATGGCGCTGCTGGGCTGCCTGGGCGATCTACGGCGGGCCCTGGAGGTGGTGAATGGTCCTGTGGGCAGGCGGGGTTGGGGCGGGGCAGGGGGTGGAACAAGGGCGGGGCCAGTTTTTGGGCACTCGGTCTCTAAAAGGTTCGCCATCACTGCCTTAGAGAAAAAGCCCTCAAGGGCAACATTTGATTGTGATCATGAGGGCAAACATATTTTTCACCTAAGCTCAGGATTGGGCAGGAGTCCCCAACCTCCAGGCCCAATCCCATTCAGAACCAGATGGTGTAAGTGGTAGCTGAGCACGTGTGTAGTTCCATTTGTATGAATGGCGGGCACTCGCGCTCACGCACATGCTTACCACTCACATGGAATCATCCCCTCCAGGATCTCCTGGGCCGCCAAGCCAGAAAATTGGGGACCACTGCTTTGGACCTTATACAAACATGAACAACATGTCTCTGCTATTTACTGAAACAGCTAATCTTTTTTCAGACTTCTGTGCAAACATGAGAAAGGCAATTGCTTGAAGGAGTTGTTTTATTAAAGGTAACCCAAATCTTAAAGCAGGCATTTTTTTCAGGCAGGACTGGAAGCTATAAAAAAAGGGACTGCATTAACCAGTAGCAGAAAGAAGCTGCATTCATGGATGGGCAACTTCCAAAGCCTAGCATTCTGAATTATTTTCATAACAGGCACAATTCTACTGCTACCAAATTAACTGTAGGTCTGGTTGCCAGTAACTCAAATTTGCAAATTTGAAAGATTTTATTTTTTAAAAACATATCAATAGTGCCTAGGGTCAATAGAAAGTTTCCTTTTGAGGCACAATTCTTGAATTATGCAGATGTTAGATAGATATAATCAAAATAAGATAGGACAAACCATCAGCCTCTTAGTTTTTGGATACTTTGAACACAATGTTGATATAATTCTCTCTTTCTCTTTTTCTCCTACAGGTGAGATTGCTTTCTTAGAAGGCTTAACTATAGTCTATAAAAGCAGCATTGATCTTTTCTTTTATGTAGTGGGGAGTTCCCATGAAAATGAGGTAATGTGTCCTTTAAAAATAATTTTAAACCATAGGCAAATAAGCAAAAACTGTGGCAAAAGAGTAGGCAAAATAATATTCATTATTTTGTTTTTATTGCTTCATTTTTAAATTGTAAACAGCCTTTTTCATCTACTAAATTGTTTATCAATTTTTTCTCCTTCTGTTTTTTACGTTTATAAGCTAACCATCTTCCTGGTTTATTTGCATTTTCAAAAAAGTGTTGCTTTGCCCTTTTAATTTGCTGTGCCAGTTTTTCTGATTCTATTAAATTTACTTTATGTTTTATTATTTCCATTTGTCTTTTCAAAATTTTCTTTTGTGGGTTTATTTGTAGTTCAAGTTCTAATTTTTTAAATTCTTCTCTTAACAACTGACATTGTTGTCTCTTTTTAAAAAAAATTTCCACCATGTATGTTATCGCTACGCCTCAAAAATATGCTTTGGTTGTATCCCATACATTTTGTAATGTCGTATCTTCTTTTTTATTTTCTTTGAAGAAAAATTCCATTTCCATTTCACAAAATTATCTTTGTTCAGAAAGCTAATATGGTGCTAAGTGAAAGAGCCGTGTGGAAACCCCAGTTTGATTCTGCTTCCAATTCATTTCTGAAGAGCACTATTTAGGCAGAAATATATGCTTAGATCAGATATTGACTGTTATTGATAAGAGTTTCTTTTCTGAATCCTATTTTTTCCAGTTAATGCTGATGTCAGTTCTTTCCTGTCTCTTTGAATCCCTCAGTCATATGCTGCGGTGAGTTACCTTTGATGCTTCTGTTACAGATTAAGAATCACTTTATGAAGCTCCAAAATTATAGACTGGAGAGCAGAAATTATCAGAACTCATTGTGCATGAATACATATGGATAATCCCAGTTGCACATTGCTGTCTAGGGTGATCTGGAACATGGCAAGAAACATTGTCTTTAGAAGGAAAGACTTTGGTTAGTCTATGCATGCAAGCCAAGTTGCAAGCTCTAAGAAAAGCAAATCTCCCAAGAAATGTCTATAATTTCCTTGGGTTTCTTTGGCATTTTAAAAGCTAGTGTGTTTGTTTGTTTGTTTGTTTGTTTGTTTGTTTGTTTAAAAGATTTGTATAGCCATTCATCTTAAGCAATTCTGGGTGGCTTATTGAAAATTATCATTTCTGACCTAAACTTGGCTGTGTTGAATTGACATTATATTTTCCCTAAAGGAATTCCTTGTATGCAAACATGTCCTCTGAATTATGCTCTCCATTATTGGCCTCCCATTGCATAGAAGTCTACATGGAGAACAATATCTGAGGTTCTTCTTCAGGAATTATAGTAAAAGTACAATAAGACAAGTAGCAATTGGAGAGTTGATTGCTATTTTTGGCACTGATATCTCAACCTTGAAATATCTCACCTCTCGAGATTTAACTATAAAGTTGACACTAAATGAAGACCTTTGTATTTGTTTTCAAAGCCTTTTAACAAGTGAATTTGACTTTTTAAAAAGTCACTCTTTGCTATTTTGAATTCTCTTGGAAGCTATTTCTGGAAGCCAAAAGTTCATTATGGAGAGATGTACTGTACATATTTCAGAAGGGATTGAATAGTGTATCACCTGGGTATTGCAGTGCAAAAAAAGATTGTGTTCTATCCAAAATACCATATCAAAATCCAGGGAATAGAATTCAGTCTTTGACCTCTACACTCTAGATACTCCAACTGACATTTACTAGGATCAAAGCTCTATTTACTACTGCAATTTCTCAAAATTTAGACCACCTGGTCCAGATCATTGGCAACAAATAAATAGAAAGTAGGTGTTTTAAAAAAGAATATCCCCAACTAAGCAAATGTAGGCTATGTAATTCCCATACTTAATTCCTGAATTAGACAATGATTTATAACCAATATTATCTTTGGAAAGAAGTGCCTATTTCTAGAAACATCTTCCTGTTTTCATAGTTTTTTTTTAAAGTCTTGTTTTCCTTTGTGAAGTATCTATATTACCAATCTATATAATTCTAACACATGATTTTTATCCTGTTTTTTTCCAGTGAATTCTGGAAATTGTAATTTGACAAGGTGCTGAGAATTCTTTATTTTAAAGATCTTTTGTCCAATTTCAGCCTTTATGAAATTATAATTCCTAGAGATTCTTGGGGGGAAAGCGTTAACTCTTAAACCATTGTCAGAGACCATAACATTACAAATCCTGAGGAATGTAGAGGGCAGAAAGTCATGGAAAACAGATGTAGATATTGCATCCTGGAATTAATATTGGTGTCATTTTCTCTTTTATCTAGAAAGAATGTGGAGAAGCGAATTCTGATAGACAACATGGATGGGGTATTCCTTTTAGTGGATGAAATTGTTGATGGAGGGTGAGATTTCTGTGGAAGGGAAAACACTATATGCAAAGAATCACAGGGAAAACTACAGTAAAATACATTTCATACCAACACTATCTGGTGTTCTTAAATACAATCTTGAATTTAAAGTGTACTATACTACACTATACAATGTACTCAATGTATAGTCCACAGTATTGTACAGTTTAAATTCAATATTATTCAAAATCTCTTTCCACTATAAAATACATTTGGCAAGTCTTGGAAAACTAGCTAATCATATTACTGTCAAATTTTAATCAGAATATAAAAATAATTGCCATGATTCATAAACTGCTCAGAATCACCTCGAACCATGAGATAAGAGCATATAAATTCAATAAATAAATAAATCATACCGATTTAAAGTAGTTGAGAGATACTCAAAGGAGTATGTACGTCACATTAAGAAAGCCAGTTGAATAGTAAAAATAAGACATTTGTCTCTATTTACTTCTGAAATATGCTTGCCCCTGCTTTCTTGAGACAGACATAGAGCGATTATCTATATCTTTAATCAGAAGTAAATCTCTCTGAGTTCAGCAGTGTTTATTCCAGGTAAAAGTACCGTGTTTCCCCAAAAATAAGACCTACCCAGAAAATAAGCCCTAGCCTAATTTTTTAAGGTGTACCTAATATAAGGCCTGCCCCCAAAATAAGCCCAGGGGGTGGGGGTGGCCAACACAGGAGGTGGCGAGAGCACGGGGGTCAATGGTGTCTGGCAACAGCCCCAGCCCACGCAGCGCAGGTAAGTCCGAGTGCGGAGACAGAGGTGGAAAGGAGGCAGGCGATCCCGATGCACTGCCCACTCAGTCCCACCATTTCTTGGTTCTGCGTGGCATACGCCCCCTTCTTGTTTCCTCATGCCACGCAGAACCGAGGTGGGCAGGAGAGAAAAGAGAGAACCTCCGCTATGGTACGAGGGCAACAACAAGCAGGAACGGAGTGGAGACGCGGCATGTAAGAGCAAAAGGGATGATCCCCCCCTCCCCTCTCCGGACCTGGGATGCAATCACGTATGGAAAATGGGAGGTGCTACATGAAAGAATGCTGGCAGTTGCTGGCCCCTGAAGATGCATAACCTTATAACGATGAAGGGAGCGGCACGGGAGGAAACACAGGCTGGGAGAAGGAGGGGGTTGAATGATGAAGTGAGCAGTATGCTGGAAGTACGGCAGGATCAGCTGGGGCCTGTTACTCACTCCAGGAGCCGTAAACTGACGTTCGGCAATGATATATAAGACTTCAACCGGCTGTTGCCTTTTAGCCCTGATGATGTCAAACGTTTTGTTGACGAAAGCTAGGTAGATTAAACATTTTGTATGTATTCTCTTGGCGGTCTATATTTATTTTGATATTATGATTTTTCCCAAGAGTCGAGTTTTTAGTTTTATTCATATATATATATATATATATATATATATATATATATATATATATATATATATATATTGAATTTACAGTATATGCTGACAAGGGCTGCAGGCCCATAGTAGGATGGGAGATGTTGGTGATGGGCAGAGCTGTAGCTAGTAAGATCAAGACCAGGCTAGAAGCAGATGTGGTAAACCTTTTTCAATATTTCCATTTCAATTGTGTTGGTACTTCTGCAAAAGGGGACATTTCAAATGGAATGTAAAAGAAGTTACATGCAATTAGATTGAAGGCTGAATGTAGCTTATGGATGAGAACTGATTACCCTGGGATATAAATTGCTGAGACTGAGATTTATAAGTAAAGGAAAATTCACTTCAGTAGGAGACATGACTGCTGAACTGAAATCAGAAAAGAAACAGGGAGAAATAAAAATAACTAAATACCAAGGAATATTTCATACAGGCAGGCAGTGGCTATGCTCACACTTCTGCAGAAGAGGTAAAGAGACAGAATAAAATGTATAATAAAAATTTAAACCACAAAATAAATATCTTAAATATCCTACCCAGGAAATGTCATAACAGACATCAACACTGACTAATTGGTTCTTATGGCATTTTAACACTAAGAACCTTCACAAAATATTGCATTTGAAGAAAATGTTGCTTCAGTGGAACAATGTCTCTTTCTATGCAAGATGATCACTGTTAATGAGTAAAGAAGAAACATGTCAAGTGGTCTGGAAACTCTTACTACAATTCCCAGGATTTTCTAGCATCATTAACAAGACTGAAAATTCTTCTTCCTAAGATGTTTAATTTCTTTCTTTTTTAAAATTCTAGTGTGATCATGGAAAGTGATGCTCAACAAGTCATCCAGAAGCTGAATTTTAGAGTGAGTCTACTGCACTTTTCTAATTTCCTTTTGTATTTCTTACTCTTTGGTGATTCTTGCATCATCCTTGCTTTTATTCCAACTTACTTTACTCATAAAACTCTTTTCATCTCAGACAAATCCGGAGCCTGCAGCTTATGGCTTCATTCTCTTTGATTATATCACCAGTAATTCGGATCACAGTGAAATTATATCGGAAAGATTGTACAAATATTGAAACATCTCCCAAAATGGGAAGCAGAAGTAAGACATCAGTTCCCTTTGAGCATGTTAAGTGTGGCATGTTGAATGGCTGGGCTGAAATATTTACCATGGACCTCATTTATGATTGTTCAGAGATATAGCCCTTCCCAAGCCCAAAATATAAAATAACTGCTCAGCTGGTTACTATAAGTGATTAACATTATTGCCTTGAAAGAAAAGTGTTGGTCTTTTTGATCATTCCACACATTACAATACATATTAAATGGGATCTTTTCTCTGTGTGGTTTTAAATGCACCATCACTGTCCACCTAACTGTCTCTATAAATGCAGAATAGAGGAAGGATTATTATTATTATTATTTATTGAATTTATATACCGCCCTATCTCCCTTACGGGACTCAGGGCGGTGAACAGGCGATAATAAAAACCACAATAAATATACACAAATTTCTGTCTAAAATCAAATTAAATAACAGGCCTGCTCTAAAAATACCCCATACAAAACCCCCACTAAAACATAATCAAACTACGCCAGGCCGGCCGCACGGAATAGATGAGCCTTCAGGGCTCGGCGAAAAAGGCGCAGGTCCGCAACTGTACGTAGGTCGGGGGGTAGGTCATTCCAGAGGGCAGGAGCTGCCACAGAGAAGGCTCTCCCCCTGGGGGTCGCCAGTCGGCATTGTCTGGCCGACGGCACCCTAAGGAGGCCCTCTCTGTGGGAGCGGACTGGTCGAAGGGAGGTGTTTGGTAGGAGGCGGTCTTGCAAATACCTGCTGTCCCTCTTTTATCTCTTTTTAGCAATGGTGTATATATAAGGGTTAAAAACAAGCTTAGTATATGAGTAAAATAAATTCTCCACAATCTTTTAAGTTTTGATTTGATGTTAATTTGATCAACAGATTCCCATTCCTTTGAGAATTTATTTTCCTCACAAATAGCCCTCTCATCTATAGAGACTAAATATGTACTGCAGAGCAAGCATGCAGAGAACTTCAAAGGCCGCACAAACTGTTCCTAAATTTTAAGAAAAAAGAACTAATCCCAACCAACCACATTACCTAAGGCCAACATAGGAGATATAAGAATTGCAGACAAAGCGGAAACTGTCTATAAAAGGGTTAAAATTGGAATGCCAAAAGCGGCTTCCCTTGGACTATCCACGCTAATTACTTACCATATTGTTTCCAGTGGCTCTGAAAAAAATTGGTGCTTTTTGTTGTAGTTAATTTCCTAGATTATGTACACTCTTGCTTTTGTTCATGTCTCTCCTTGCTTTTGCCTGCTTTTTGTCCCATTTTGCCAGTTAATTCTTGTTGATGCTTGCTGATAATAAATACCCATCAACCTATATTTTTGCTGGCTAAACTGAGTTGTGTAAGTGTTCATACTGCTCTGAATATAAAGATTGACTGGGAAACTACCCACAGTAGGTTTCCACTCTGTAAAAGCTGCTGGTTGCTAACATTTTCTTGTTATTTAAGAGAATTTGAAACATGTCTAGCAAATATTTTTAAAATATGTTGATCTTGGGGAGATCCCAGAGCAAGCTTCAGAGTTGTTCTGGGATCAAGTACAGATTAGGTGAATAATAATAATAATAATAATAATAATAATAATAATAATAATAATAATAATAATAATAATAATAATAATAATAATAATAATAATAATAATAATAATAATAATAAAGGTGGAAGGGACCTTGGAGGTCATCCAGTCCAACCCCCTGCTCAGGCAGGAAACCCTATACTGTTTCAGACAAAGGGCTGTCCAGTCTCTTCTTAAAAACTTCCAGTGTTGGAGCATTCACCGCTTCTGGAGGCAGGTTGTTCCACTGGTTAATTGTTCTAACTGTCAGGAAGTTTCTCCTTAGTTCTAAGTTGCTTCTCTCCTTGATTAGTTTCCATCCGTTGCTTCTTGTCCTGCTTTCAGGTGCTTTGGAGAATAGCTTGATTCCCTCTTCTTTGTGGCAGCCCCTGACATATTGGAAGACTGCTATCGTGTCCCCCCTCGTCCTTCTCTTCATTAAACTAGACATACCCAATTCCAGCAGCCGTTCCTTATATGCTTTAGCCTCCAGTCCCCTAATCATCTTTGTTGCTCTTCTCTGTACTCTTTCTAGAGTCTCAACATCTTTTTTACATCATGGTGACCAAAACTGGATGCAGTATTCCAAGTGTGACCTTATCAAGGCATTGTAAAGTGGTATTAATACTTCACGTGATCTTGATTCTATCCCTCTGTTAATGCAGCCTAGCACTGTGTTGGCTTTTTTGGCAGCTGCAGCACACTGCTAGCTTATATTTAAGTGATTGTCCACTAGGACTCTGAGATCCCTCTCACAGTTACTATTGAGCAAGGTACCACCTATACTGTACCTGTGCATTTGGTTTTTCTTGCCTAAATGTAGAACCTTACTTTTTTCACCATTGAATTTCATTTTGTTAGATAGTGCCCAGTGTTCACGTCTGTCCAGATCCTCCTGTATCTTAAGCCTGTCTTCTGGAGTGTTGGCTATTCCTGCCAGCTTGGTGTCATCTGCAAATTTGATGAGTTCCCTAACTATCCCCTCGTCCAAATCGTTGATGAAGATGTTGAAGAGCACTGGGCCTAGAACAGGGCCCTGGGGCACCCCACTACACACTTTCCTCCATGTAGATGCAGTTCCATTGAGGACCACACGCTGAATATGGCTGTGAATCCATCTGGTGGTGATGCTGTCTAACCCACATTTTTCTATCTATCTTGAATCAATAGCAGTAATTGTGAGAGGGATCTTGGAGCCCTAGTAAACAATCCCTTACATATGAGCCAGCAGTGTGCTGCAGCTGCCAAAAAAGCCAATGTAATCTATGCTATGGTAATCTCTGGGAAAACTACGCCAGTTGGAGCTGGGTGAGGAAGGCCAAGCTCCCCTTCCCCAATGGTTCTGCAAAGCCCTTGAGAAGAGGATCCGCTTCCCGCAGGGCTGGCCCAATCCGTTCCTCAAGGGCTTTGCAGAACCATCAGGGAAGAGGAGCCTGGCCTTCCTCATCCAGCTCCAGCTGGCGTAGTTTTCCCAGAGCTTACCATAGCATCCTTCCATACGAAGCGTCCTTCCTTTCCTCCGTTCTGCTGGGAGGAAAACGGCAAAAATGGGGCTGCCATTTCCAGAACGAAGAAGAGAGACATGCGCCGATGCAGGGCGGCAAGAAAGTGCAGGCCAGCGATCGCTGAGGAAAGGAAGGAAGGAAGGAAGGAAGGAAGGAAGGAAGGAAGGAAGGAAGGAAGGAAGGAAGACTTAAGGATACCTAGGGAGGCAAAGGAAGTTACCGTAAGCCGCCTTTCTTTCTTTCCCGGCTGGGATGGAGGCAGCCCACACAGACTGCTGCTTCATGCAAACGGGTGTGTCCCTGGAGACTGAGGCTCCTCAGGGCCACTTGAGAAGTTTTGTTCCTGAGTGGTGGTGGGGGAAACTGACCATTGTGCTATAGTTTTCCACCTCTGTTTCTTCCTCCCCCGACCCCCTTTACTTTTAGTGTTCAGGGAAGCCCGTGCCTTTATGTGTTCTTAAGTTGTTCTTCGGGCAGACAACAATTGTTAAATTATTTGAATCCCACCACTGGGTCTCCTGCTTGAGCAGGTGGTTGGACTAGAAGACCTCCAAGATTCCTTCCAACTCTAATGATGTTCTATGTTCTTTTAAAAATTCCAACTCAGTTGAAAACATATTTCAGATTGATTCCTAACCTACTATATATTATGGGAGTCTGTTTGATAGGCTTGGTGACTTGTATGTGGAAATATCAAATAAAGATATAAGTTTAAGAAAAGTTAGAAAAATATGCAATCAATTAACATAAGACAATAATGAAGAAAACAGGAGAATTTACAGAAGTTTACTTTATTTTACTGACCACAGCAAGACTTAATATAATGCCAGAATATGGAATATATTTTACAGGTAATAGGCATGTGGACTGCCAATATAGTGTAGTTCTTAAAGCAACAAGCTAGAAATAGAGATAATGAAGTCTAGTTCCTCCTTAGCCATCAGGCCAACTGGTAACCTTGGACTCTCTCTTAGCCCTAGGAAAAAGGCAAAGTCGAACCACTTCCAAACTGCTGCCAAGAAAACTGCATGGACTAATTCAGGCAGTCACCAGGAGTCACCATTTACTCAAAGGCTTTAAAAAATTAAAAGCTATGTGAAAACATCTGATGATTCCTCTGAAGAAATTTTGCAATGATTAGTAACTTAGATCTACTTCAAGAAGATCTAGACCAGTAATGGCGAACCTTTTAGAGACCGAGTGCCCAAACTGCAACCCAAAACCCACTTATGCATTGTCGGGTGCTGGGTGGGTGTGGCCATTGGCTGGGTGTGGCCCATTGGGTGGGCGTGGCTGCGGTGGTAACGGCAGACTGGGTGGAACTAAAAAGTTCAATCAATCAATTCCAACTTTGCAAGATCTTTTTTTTCCCCGCAAGAAGTTGAAATTGACTGATTGATTGAACTTTTTTTTTTTTTTTGCACACAGCGGCGGAGGCTTAAAGGGAAAAGGTTTTATAAAACCCAGCTGAAGGCCTAGGACTGGCGCGACGGCGTGCGTGCCCACAGAGAGGGCTCTGAGTGCCACCTCTGGCACCCGTGCCATAGGTTCGCCATCACTGATCTAGACTGCCTGGGACGGATCTAGGACAACTTGCTGTGGCCAGCATTGCATGGCCAGCTCACCAGGGCCAGCTCGTCCCTGCCAAGTTGCTCTGCCAACTCATTGCCACCAAAGTTGCACAGGACAATTCCACATGGCCAACTCGGCATTGGGACAGTTCTCCGGAGATGGCTGAGTTGGCAGAGGCGACTTGGTGGTGGTGAGCTGGCTGCAGCAAGTTGTCCCATTCCAGCCTGGCTAGGAGAGACAGTGTAGTTCAGAATAGGGAAGATGGACAAGAATATTTTCTCTATATTTGCATCACTTGAAAAACAAATATATTATAAAAATATCAGAATTTGAAGAACTGACAGCCAAAATTAAAATTATTTCATATAGTCTATTTCATATAGTCAAATGGTACAACTTTCTTGGAAGAAGCAAAGAATACTTAGAAGCCCTCACTAATAAAATAAAAATGTGAAGTGATAAAATCTTGGTTAATATGAAATATTAAGAAATCAAAGTAACTTTGCTTATATTTATTTATTTATTTTATTTATTTATATTTGGATTTATATCCCGCCCTTCTCCCGTAGGACTCAGGGCGGCTGACAATCTATTTAAAATACATACAAAACAATACAAATTTAAAATTAATTAAAAGGAATATTTAAATATTTGTCGAATTTTAAAATATAATTAAAACCCCCCTAAAAATTACCCTAGGCCAGTCCTGCAAGCNTAAAGCGCACCCAGAAGGCCACAGGCAGCCAATGCAGCTCGCGCAGCAGCGGTGTCACGTGGGAACGCCGAGTCCCCCCCAACACCGCCCGCGCGGCCGCATTTTGGACCAGCTGGAGCCTCCGGGTGCTCCTCAAGGGGAGCCCCATGTAGAGAGCATTACAGTAGTCCAGGCGGGAGGTGACAAGTGCGTGAGTGACTAGCACAATAGTTTGATAACCATAACATTTTTGCATGTTATGAATCAATACATATAGTGCCCTTCATTACATATACAGGTAATCCTTGAGTTAGAAATATAATGGAGCCTGCGAATTACATTCATAACCTGAGGATTCATAGGAATTAATCACATAACTTGAATGTGATCACTCCCTGCTTTCGCCCACGCGTTCGCTAATCGAATGCATGGGGTGTTGAATACATGAGGTATCTCAGGGTAGGGAAGGCCATGTGGGGGGCTAGTGCTTCAGACCGCCCAAGACCTCCCCCAATCCACTGAGATATCTCATGCTTCCTCTGCCCCCCATCCTGCCCAACCAATTATTTACCTTGTGTAGATCTCGATGATCAAGGGAACTATCTCCTTTCCAACCTCTCTGCCACAGTTTTGCCTTGAATAAAGACTTGCCAAGGCCTGCAGGGATGAGAGATTGCATCCCTATAGGCTCCAGTATTTGCAAAAAGCCTTTGCCACCAAGAACTGAGGTCCAGAGGGGTGTGTGCACCCCTCCAGGCCTCTGTTCTCAACAGCAAAGGCCTTGAGGAAAGGCCTTTGCTGCTGTAAATGGAGGCCTGGAGGGATGCATATACCCCTCCTGGCCTCCATTCTCAGTGGCAAAGACTTTTTGCAAAGATGGCAAAAGGCTTTGTAAATGGACGGAAGGCTTTGGTGTTTCAGGGCTTCCCTCCGTTTGCAAAGCCTTTTGCTGCAGATCTCGTCCAGGCCTTCATTTGCAGATAAAAGAGGCCTAAAGTACCATGAGATCATGGGAGATCAGTAGCACAAGATCTCGTGTTACTGATTTCGCTTGATCTTGCGGTACTTTAGGTCTCCATTCTCTGCGAATGCACTGAAGCACCGAAGCAGGCCAAGAAACCGAAGGCTCACTAGATCTTTCCAAGGTGAATATCCATAGGCCCAGTGCCTGTGGAGACCCAATGGGGGAGGGGGAACTAGGCAGGGTGAATGTTGCAGTGCCTCTGTATTCATTCGTAAGGGTGAGCAACTGCCATGGTGCTGCAACATTCATAAATTCGGGACTGTATCACAAGTATTGGGGGTGATGGTTATGTCATAAATTTGAACAGTCACTAATCAAACTATTGAACTCGAGGATTACCTGTACTGCACTTTTCATTCTCCAAACCGCACAATCTTGTAAAAAACAATATTTGCAGTTCAGGGTTGAAATGAGGGGTCCTTGATGTTATCTGAGCTTGGTTGTTTTCTTGCAGATATTTTGTTATCTAAACTAGGATGTTACCTAGTTTGGGTAATGAAGCATCTGCAAGAAAACAACCAAGGTCATAGAGCACCAAGGACCCCCATACAATCTTGTTCTACATTTGTTTAGATAATCACTAACTCTTTAGCACCGTCTTTTCTTTGCAGCTTAAGACAATTCATTGAATAATGTGGTGCCTTTCTGTTTGATTATTGGTATTTTTCCTTCATGTTTCTCTTTCTAGAAGAGTTAGTTCCTGAAATAGTTTATCTTTCATTGTGTAATCTCATTTATAATACTGTAGTATTTATAAAATTCATGGATTAGTATTAGTATTCCCATCTTCCTTTAACTTTTTTTGCCTCTATTAGATCTTGTCCAGGATTATTCTTGTCTCCCATTAGATGGAAAATGTCTTGATTGCTCTGATCTTTTTTTAAAAAAAATCTTTTGTGGGTTTTCCTTTCTTGTTATTTTTCTTTATTTATTGACCATCATGGTTGATTTTCTTTCCTTATCCTTTCCTTCTTCATGATTAATAACCACATTTAGTTGTTGTACATTCTTATTGCCATATGTATCATGATCTGAATAATTTAATATATAGCCCATAAAGAACAGACTTTCAACCTTCATCACACATATAAACAAATTTATTGACTCTTCACCCTATAATGTTACAAACATTTATTTCTCCATTTTCTATCCTACCTATAAACAAATCCATAAACTATTATGTTTTCAATTCTAATGTTAACAGAAAGCTTTCCAGAAGTAACAATAGATCGTGTTCTAAACTTGATCAAATATACCATGTATCATGTAATCATCTGATTTGTCATCTGATTTAAAATTATCTATCCTGGATTCTTATATTCATTTATTTATAGGATATTCAGTTTAGTATGCTTCATTTCCCTTCTGGCAAGTCGAAACTTTTTCAAGGGTGATTTCAGTTTTCCTTTGGCAATAACAGGCTCACTTTCTTCTCGAAAATTAACAGGGAAATTAAAAAATAATAATAATAAACCATTTTTTCTAGTTGTTGAGGGTGGCTAGGAAGTCATCAGGAGTCAAAGTTGACTTGAAGGAGATTTGGCTTTAATTTTGCATGTTAGTTTTAGATGACCCAGCAGTTTTATCTGAGAACTTTAAATATATTTGTGAGGATACTGTCTGTCCGGATAATTAATTTGTAATTTGTCAATTAGTATAAGTTCTATTTATATTATATTTAATTGTTCATTGTCTTTGTCCATACAATTTCACAATCTTCTTTACTCCTTCTCATATATGAGCATAGCCCTCCTAGAATTTACCCAAAAGGCTTTTGTCATCTGAATCTCTCAAACATTTGCATGGTTGCTGATGTAGCTACAGCAACAAACAATAAGATACAGGGTTTTTGGTTTTCATGTGGGAAAAAGAAATCCCATAGGCCATCTCTTTAGCTTACAAATCTCTCCCCTGAGTTTGGAAAGCATTAAATCCAGAGAAGCTGTGGTTTCTTTCCTAGCATGCTTTATTTCAATTCCCTCTGATATTGAATTAGAATGAACATAACTTAGCAGCTCTGGATGAGTCAGAAGAGGTTTTCTGATGATGGATATTCCCCTTCTGAACAAAATTTCTATCTATGAAAACTTGGGGGTGAAACCTGAAAAAATTAATGCTCTCTGAGACACATTCCCACAAACTATTTCATGAAGGCAGGCACTCTTAAGTCTTTCCTGGTGGCATTTCCTGATGGACTCCGATACAAGTATTAACCAGATCCCACCTGCTTAGCTTTCAAAATCAACCATAGTTGGCTAGACATTGCTATCTAGTTGGGTATTATATTTCATACTGCAAGACAATTTTATGACATTGGCTCCAGATTTAGACATATTTAGACTAGACTCATTGGACTCAGTAAGGTATAAGTTTATCATTAATAATTCAGAAATCGTTGATTTTAATGGATCTACTCTAAGTATGACTAACTCTAAATGGAAAAAATTCTATGACTAAATCGAGAACCATATCTTTGTCTTTGCGTCATTAGCAATTTGCTTCTGAAATTCATTATTTGTTTGCTGAATTGTCAATATATATTGGCTTTGTGTCTTTCCCTCCCCTCAAATCCATTTAGTCAAGACTCTCTCCTTTTTAAATAAGCCTTATTTATTTTTATAGATTTCTTGACTTAGCTATCAGCATTCTATTTATCTCTCTCCTGGCTAATCTTTATCTTCCTTAACTATCTGAATCTCTTTTCCTATTTTAGGTGGATGACAGCTCTTTAGCAGAGCACAGTGTCACTCAGGTAAGACTGCTTGAATCATTTGAAGTTTGGCTTCTGCAGGGAGTCATTGCTTTCTCAAGTATGGTAGAGTTGGATGGCTTAGCCAGATAAGTGGAATCTGTGGCAAAATGTCACTACGTGAATTATGTTCTCTGGAAATCAGCCAGAAACGCCTTTTTAAAAGTTCATTTAGTGACCATTCAAAGTTACAATGACATTGGAAAAAGTGACTTATGATTGTCTTTCACACAGCCATTGCAGCATCCTCAGGGTCATGTGATCAAAAGTGAGACAATTGGCAACTGACTAACATTTATGACAGTTGCAGTGTCCTGGGGTCATGTGATCACCTTTTGCAAATTTCTGACAAGCAAAGTCAATGAGGAAGCCAGATTCATTTAATAACCGTGTTACTAATTTAACAACTGCAGTGATTCACTTAACAACTGTGTCGAGAAAGATCGTAAAATGGGGCAAAACGTACTTAACAAATGTCTCACTTAGCAACAGAAATTTTGGGTTCAATTGTAGTTGTAAGTCAAGGACTACCTGTAGTTTTACAAAACTTGAGACACCCATAAATCTGTTAATACTTCCATATAATGCATGGATGATGCTGACTTAGTGTAGTAAAGAATAAAGCAGCATTTGAATAACCAATTATTTATTAGGATATATACTTTTGCCATTTTTATATGAGCCCCATTATAATTATTGCTTGCCTTTATAACTTAAATCTGAAAATTTTCAAGTGAAAAAAATAGAAAATAATCAGAGACAGGTGCTCAGTTTCCTTGTTTCATCTTTATAAAAATTATAAAAGCAGGATTTTTATATATACATTTATTAAGTTAAATATCCATGATCTTATGTTCAGACATACTACAAGAAACTAAACAGGAAGCCAAATATCACTCTTTTTTTCTGTTGCTGCAAGTTGCCTATCGACAAATAGACATTATTCTACTAGAAATAGAAAGATATTTTATAAATTGGGAATTGTACACACATAGACATCACACTTCTCTCCCCTTCCCCCATGCTACAAACTGTTAATCCTAATACTATGTTTATTCATTCCAGTATCTGAGTTCCAAAAACATCTCAAAAGACATTAGGTTAGAAAAAGTGAGTGACTCTCAGTATAGATAGTCCTTGACTTATGACCACAATTGGTGTCAGAATTTCCATTGTTAAACAAGACATTAATTAAGTGAGTCACACCCACTTTTACAACCTTTTCTGCCATGGTTACTAAACTAATCCCTGCATTGTTAAGTGAATTATAATGACCATAATGGTCATTAAGTGAATCCAGCTTTCCTCTTTGACTTTGCTTGTCGGAAACCTGCTGGAAGGTTGCAAATGGTGACCATGTGACACCGGGATACTGCAGCTTTTGTAAATATATGCCAATTGTCAAAGGCCAAATTTTGATCATGTCCCCCTAGGAATGCTGCGACAGTCAATAGTGCAAGGACCAATCATAAGTCATTTTTTTCAGTGTTGTAACTTTGAATGGATGTTAAATGAATGGTTGTAAGTTGAGGATGCCTGTATTGTGCGAGGCAAAGAAGTAAAGATTCCCTCAAGCTGAACCCAGCTCCTAGAGGTGACACAGACAATTCATGTTGCTTTCTTGACAATAACACAAATGTCATTAGCTACTTTCTTTTGGAATGCTTTTTGATTTCCGAGTCCAAGTAACAGCCTAGAGATTTCCTGATGATCTCATATAGAGATACTAATTAGGTCTGATCTGCTTCTTTTAAAATAATCTGTGATATTTTTCACTGTAAAGTAAAGCCTTATTCAGGACAATTAAGTTTCTTACATTTCCTTGCACTTATTTCACATGCATATTATTCACCGTTTCTTTGTAACTGTTTGTTTCACTGCTCTGCAGCATTGGGGCAAAATAGCCAGGGATTGTGCAACCAGGGTAATGCTATCGGGTTATTAGAGAGGAAGTAGATTTGAAAATATCATGAAGTTTTATAATGATAACAGGAAGCGTTGTTGATCTGAATGGGCTCTCTAGTAAGCATATGCATCTAGGACACATTGCAGTAGAGCAAAAATAGTAGGTATATCATGGTGTCTCAGTGGAAATTGTATGACTTTTGTATTTGCATCCTTATATTGCACACTGTTTAAGTCACATGGTTTACAATGTTATAATATATGTTTTTCATTGGTCTTTTTGCAATCCTCAGAATACCCAAGTTAGCAATCTATATAATTAATCAGGCTTTGCAATCTATGATATCAGAAAGCGAAATCAAAAATAAGTCAATGTTTCCTGCCATCCACGATTGAGATAATATTTTTTCTACATTATAGTCACTTCTGAATAAATGCCAAAATAGGAGGAAGCAAATATATTTTGGAGGACAAGCAGTTTTTATGCAGTATGTCTAACTACAATTTCAGCTCAGGTGCAGACAATACATTGATATGGATTTTGTATCCATTAATCATAATTAAACTGTAGTTCGATAAAATAATTAAATTTTCTGTTTAATAATCACAGCTTTCTTCATAGAACCACATTTCCCAGAAAGGAAGATAGAATAAAATATTAAACCAGATCTCAATTAGCCCAAAAAAACAAACCAAAACAAAAAAACTCTTTGAAAGTCTTTAATTACCCTGAAAAAATGCTCGGTGTGATCAGTTTTGTAGAAATCAAGAGATTATGAAATGATTTAAAATTAATTTGGATTACATCCTGTTTAAGAACTCCTCCAGTGTTATGTTTAGATGTGCAGTGGTTTCTTCAATGCTGTTTGATGAGAGCAGATTAGATTTGTTACCTGTTCTGAGATAATCCTACTACAAGGTTGGCTAATCATGAGTAAAAGAATAAAAAAGTAAATGAATTGAGTATTGCATTTGGGCACATGAATTAATTGTGTCCTGGTTTCTTAAGCTTAATGCAAGCTCGAGAGCTCTGTCTCACCCTCTGGGCCAGAAAACACTTGATGTAGGCCCGTATTAAGAACCTTTTTTTGGAGCCGCACGGGATTCTGTAAAACAAATCATTTAAATCATCAACTTTTGGATCAAGCCTGAATTTTATCATCAAGGTTTAATAGACTATAAATGAACAACTAAAAAGAATAGCACAAAATAATGCAACTGCCTCAAATCTTCTTTTTCATTTAATGAGCTTTCTTTCTGGTCAGTGTTGCTTCTTTATCTAAAAGATATGTCTGCCATCTAGTGTTTAGAATAGGAAGACTAGGGTCAGATAATCTAGGGAATTCTTCCAATAGTTCTAAAATGTTTTTTTCCCTTTTCACAGGCTTGTTTTTTTTTTTAAAAAAAAACACTTAGTTTGCACCAAGGTTCACCAGGGTTAAATTTATGTATTGAGGAAAGCTGGATTTTTTTTCAGGGGCGGGGGAAAGGTTCTTGCTGAACAAAGTCATCAGATGCTGGGCAGGAATGTTCTTGGTAGCAACTTGGTTCTCTAGCTGGCAATTTGCCAATCTTAGTCAACGATTTAATCCTGTTGTCTGCAGAGTTCATAAAAGTGAACATGCTGAATGGCTGGCTGGTTTATTGAACTATTTTTATAATGCCTTTCAAATAATAGCCTGAGGACAATATAAAACCAAACATTTAAGAACAAATTTCATCAATAGATTTTTTTTTAACAGCAAAGCAATGGCAGCAAATACGGTAGTGCTGAAATGAGGAATACAATTTTCATTAACAAACCAAATGCTGAGCAAAGCACAATCGGTCTCACCCAGAGCACATCCTATGAATTGACAGTCCTTGCCTGATGTTGATCCAGCCTTATGCTCTTCAGATACATTGAAATAGAGCTTCCATCATTCCAGAGAGTAGAGTTGAAGTCCTAATCTCTCATGGTAGTACACATGTCTTCATGCAGCTAAATGAAGAAGCACACAGCTGAACCCTCCAGATGAATTTTAGCATGGTGGAGCAATGATGTGCACAAAGTTGGCAGGAGATTTTCTGCAAAAGAAGTAGAAGAGTTATTCCTGATCTTTTGGCAGAATGTCAGATAAAAGGAATAGTTCTCATATCTTTCTCCCTTTGCTTCTTTGTAGGTGCTGCAATCTGCCAAAGAACAAATTAAGTGGTCCTTATTAAAATAAAATATTCTAAATATTGTCTTGGAACATTTTCAGTTTCTTACATTACTCTGTTTCCCCAAAGAATGAAAACTTTGCAATGCTGTGTGATGGCTACTCAGATCAGCCCAACTTGCTATAGGCCATCTCTTTAAGTTTTTCAAAGTTGATCACATCATATTATTTATCAGAAATGTGGCCATAGATGGAGATTATACATGAACAAGAGGAACAACAAACAAAGTGGAAATTTGTTTAAGAATCTGTGAGGGCAAAGGAAAAATGTAAAGTAAAACTCTTGTCAAGAAGCACCTAGAATTGCTGGAAGAGTATTCCAAAATGCACGGGATTCAGTCTTCAATTTCAAAATGATATTTGTAGCAATCTGGAGTTTGGCATGATTGTCTATTTGTTCATGTTGTGTTACAGTACTGAAAAAAGAATTATAATTTTGAAAAAGAAGTGATGTTTAGACTAAATGTAGCAGTGGGGTAAAAGTGAAACAGAAAAACAGGTCCCAAAGATGCTTTTTCAGGAAGCAACTGGACTTTCTTATTTTTCTTTGAAGACATTTTGTTTCTCATCCAAGAAACTTCTTAAGCTCTGACTGGATGGTGGGGAATGGAAGAATTCCATCATTCCATCCTTCCATTCACCACCATCCAGTCAGAGCTGAAGAAGCTTCTTGAATGAGAAGTGAAACATCTTCAAATTAAATCAAGAAAGTTCAATTAACTCCTGAAAAAGCACCTTTGGAACAACCATGGCCTGGATGATTCAGAATCTCCATAGGCATAAAAACAAGTGTGCTCATTTAAAAGCACTTTCAGACAACTCACCTTTTCTTTCCATCACCCAGGACTTCTGAATACAAAAAATAAAATCAAACAGGATAAATACTCCATTCTCAGGTTTATTCATTAGAGTTATATTCTGCTGTGTGTTTAGAAGCTCAAGGTGGCGTGTATAGCACTCCTTCCATTTTTTCTATAAAAACAGTTCTGCGAGGTAAGCTGGGCTTATAGAAAAGTGATGAATCTATAGTCACCAGCCAGTCAAAATTTGCATTCCTGGCACAAATGTTTCATCTGATTTAGTCCTCTGCAGTAAAGAGTTTCTCATTTTTACTCTTTGTTTCCCACCAAACTGCAAATTCTTCAAAAGAAAAACAAAATACAACTGTAAACTGAACATGTTATCTAGAAATGAATTGAACATGGTGTCTAGAAATGTCTCCAAGCAAACAACTAAGGTCAGACAGCATCAAGGATTCCATAGTTCAGTCCCAAGCTACATATATTCTCGTATATTGTAAACCTCTTGTTGGCTCACCAGGGTATCATGATCCCTGTAATGACCAATCAATATTTAGATTTCTTTGCCTGTGCAAGTATCAGAGGCTGGGAAGTAAGGTGAGCCAACTATACCCTGGAATGGCTTTGCAGAGTATCCTGCACAGACAAACATTTCAAATTTTCCCTCCTCTGTCCTGAGACTTATTGATTCAAAATAGGAATTTATCCAAACTTTACCATTACAACAGGAAGAGAATTGGACAGAACATGGTGGGAAGTATGCAGTGATGACACCAAGCAATCAGCATGGAACTTAGTTCAATTTCATGTTGCTAAGCACATATTCTGCTTTCATAAAGAATCCTTTTATAGATTTTATGAGGACCAATCAAATTAATACAGAAGTGTGTGTGTGTGTGGGCTTTACATTTTCCAAAACATGTCATCAAACAAATATATGCCACAAAAATATCAATTTGGGATAGGAAAAGTGAATTACAAGAGGCTCATAACTTTGGTGATGCCAAGGTTAGGGAAATGATCAAAACTGCTGGGATGTCTTTTTCTTTGAGAAATAAACATGCTAATAGTGGCAAGATTGAAAAAACCTGCATATTGATCTAGAAGCAAAAATAGATCACTATCTGTTCATTTTCTTTGTGACACCAGTTTTCCTGTCTCACCCTTTCTTTGGATGTATATGATATAGAGTCAACATCTGCATTTGCTTTTCTATTATGTGGGGTTCAATTTGCAGCAAAACAGTTGAGGAAAAAATCTTTCTGGAAGCAGGATGTGTAAGGTACTAGATTTTATCAGTTCTCTTCTTCAGTTGAGCCTGCATTGTTTTTAAAATACTGTATGTTGTATATCAGATTTTACTAACCTGGCCTCCTGCACATGCACTGGAAAAGCTGTATAGAATTCCCAGTGATTATGCTGGCTGGGATCTATGGGAATAGTAATAATACTGATACATTTAAAAACTTTAGATTGAGAAACATTGATTTATCTACCCATTCGTGGAGTATTTTCATATTTAAAACTATATTATTGTCTAGCACAATCCTATGGTGCTTGTGAGTATATCTTAGGGACCTCAGAATAGATTAGATTTTGCCCTCCAATGATCAGAAAAACTCTAAGTCAGTAAGAGAGGGCAATCCCACATGCCTTCTTCCCAGCCTTAATGGCAGCCTTTCTTATTTGGACATTCTCCAGATGTGTGGACTTCAACTTCAAGAATTTTTAACACTGGCCATGGTAGCTGGAAAATTCTGGAAGTTAATATACACATCTGAAGGGTGCTCAAGTTGGGGAAGGATGCTCTGAGGAAACATTTTTCTTTCCTATATGTTTGAATTCTCTGTTGTAGAAAGTATGACTGGCCCACCCATTGATCAGATTATTTTTTAATATTGTTGTTTAAAATGCAGATTAGTTTCTTCTCTACCCAGGATGGAATATCTCTTCTGTGCCTGCTGTAAAGCACACCGGAATTTAATTTTGATGACATGTGGGATGTAAATGGCACTCTCCAAAGATACATGCTTGCTAGAGCCAAGCACATCTTGCTCTGGAAAAATTGATTAAGGAGGAAAAGACAGACTAGCTGCACAATATATTTTGATTAGCAGCTTGAAGAGCTATCCATCTGGAAGCACACAAAGGGCCTTTCTCCACTGCTGAGTGAAACTGCTACCCAGCCATCCTTGAATTGGCAGACAATTATACTGGCATGAAATTTGCTATCAGATCTTTATCCTCGGTAGTGCCTCTGTTTGAAGTCATTGAATCACCAAACTTCCCTCTAAGATAATGGGTGACAAAGACAAATCTTGACAATCACCTTGGATGGTAGTTGAATAAGGCAAAAATATTACTTTAACATCAGGCCAGCCAAGGATAACTTGTCTTACTCATGGGTCGGTCTTGAGATGAAGACAAAGCCATGAGGAGGTGGTGAGGGGGAAAAATAAATATTTGAGTGTGTTTATAGCAGGATCGGGTATGAGGAACAGACTGAAGAAAATATTTTTCTCCTTTCAAAATCACTGGATTATTAAAACAAATTTAAGCAGATTTATTCCCCCCGCAAAGTAGATGATTTTATTCCCAAAAAAACAATCCTCCCCCCTTCATTCTTTCAGGTGTATTTTTTCAGAATTTGTGAGGAAATCTTGGGGGATTAACCATCTTAAGCAAAACCCAATGTGCCACTTTTTAACCTCTTAATACTGGCAATGTTTTCTGCCATAGTCCAAGAGGACATCTGCAGCAGATATCAGAGTCTTCAGTTGCTGAGAGGTCTGCAGGATCCAGTAGCCCCTTACTCATTCTTGCTAGGAACTTGGGGTGCTTTTAAAAATAAACGATTATCAGCATCAATTCATTTGCTACAGTTATTTCATTAAATCAGCAAATTAAAATATGAGAGGATTTTTTATTTCATGAAATAAAAAAATAAGGGCAGAAAAATCTGTGGGAAATACTAGAAAGAAGATAATTGGGCTGGGAACACGTATTGAAGGGAAGCAGGTCCACAAAAGGTGGAGATGAGAGTATGACTGCTAATATTCACATATTAGCTCAAACGCCACTTTTTCCCATCAAGACTGACTCCATTAGTCCTAACACAGCAATTTCAACCATCATAGCAACAATGGGGAAATGTACCCATTATGGTCTGCCATTTGAGCACCTGTTTTTTTGGGAATACACTCAAGCTAAAAGAAGCATTTGACAAAGGGCCTTAGATATGGAATTCCAGAACAAAGTGAGCTATATTCCAGCCCACTTTACAGCTTGTATAATATGGGAATCAGGAATCACCTTAACTTCCCTGCCCAGCAAAATGCTATTCTTAGGGAAATTTTATCCTCTGCAGTTCTTAATGGGAGATTTACCCAAGTGTATGACAACCTACCCATTTGGCAATAGCAATAGCATTTAGATTTACATACCACTCCATAGTGCTTCACAGTATTCTCTGGGGAGTTTAAATGTAAGCATTATTTGCATATTGTCCCCAACAATCTGGCTCCTCATTTTACCAACACAAACAATATAGACCATCACACATGTGTTTAGCCACTGCTGCTATTATCAGTGTAGTCAAGAAACTTTTTTCTTCCCTTATTGACACATGTTATAGATCATAATGAGTCCTTTTTTTCTCCTCTCAGATAAGGAACCATTTATAACATACAATATTGCTACATTTTGTCTAGCAGCAATTGACATTAACAAAGAAATAATTAAACATACTGGACACGGGTCAACTTACTAACAATTATTTTATGTACTGATTTTTCCTTCATCTTTATTTTTATACCTTTAGCCTCTAGTCTTAGTGTTATTATTAAGCATTTTATAGATATATTTTAGTGTTTTAAATTGTATAGTATTGCTTTAGTAAGTTTAGCTTTTAATTATCTTTTGATTATTTTTAAATTTTAGGTGTTATTATTAAAATGGATATAATTTTCCTTGTTTGCATTTTATGCTGGTCTATGATTAAAGATTTATTGTTGAAGAGATATCATCATTATGAATGATAAAGCTGAAGTGGAACAAATTAGGAGCACCTTATATTTAAGTGTCAAAATTTCACACCCTTTTCTCAATTGCCCTTTTCTTACAGACGAATTTGTTACAATACTACATTTCCCATCAATGTAAAAATATTAATCATAAGCAGCACTTTTATTATCTTTATTGATTGCTCACTTTTTTCTCTCCCTTCATTCCCCAATTCCTTTTTTCCTAAAATTATTCATCTAAAATTTAAATTGCCCTAACTTAGCTTGGGAGGCATTGAGAATAATTTGTGATCTTGCATCTCCACCTACTGGCAAAAACTGATAATACTATTTGACATTATAGATAACTCAAGATGGAAATTTCCATTGTTGAAATCATTGATCAGTCTTAAAAATTTTCAACAGTAATCACCAGAAACTCTTTGTAGTTTCAGAAAGTTTTGGCACCTCTTCTAAGATCAAGAGTTCATAGTGTTCTGTATGTCAAATATCAAAGTTACAAGAGTTCCTTCTGAATTGGGACCAAAGGATTCACATGGCTAAGCATTATCCTCTGGAACATTTTAAAAAACAATGGTTCTGAATACACATGCAATATTTTATTTTCACTATGAGCAACTATATATGGCTTCTGCATTGCTGTATTTAAGAGACAACTGAGCATTCACAGCCAGGGAAAAGCAT